TATATTATTTTTCATTACTAATAATGCGAGGAGCCTCCATTCCATCAACATACTTCACAATATATATTTTGATAATATTACACGTCTTCTTGTTTTTTACAGCATACAACATGATTTTAATTTAGCATATTTATAAATATTATTAATCCTATAAGTTTAAATATAAAAAAATTCTATTCTCATGTCTATCAACTTGTAATTGTAACTTTCTATAAAATTTTATATGGATTTATATGAAATTTAATGTACACCTTCGTTACCTATATTTAAAGCAACTATAATTCGTTACTTTTAATTTTATGTATAACTACAAACTTCCTTATAACCTAGAAGTATCAGGCTTTCTCGCCAACAACAACCTCTGGCGGAGGCACAATATAGCGGAAAATTTAAATTGAAATTTATCCGGATTTTGGTGACGTACCCTATATACATATTACATTATGCTTTCTTTCATATCTCTTTTTCTTCATTTTCCTTTTTTCCTTTATCTCTTCTTTTATTTTTCCTTGCTCTTCCTTTCTTCTTTCTTTTCTTCTTCCTCTCTTTTCTATGAATTCTTTTCATGAAAAATAATTAATAAAAAAAAATATAATCGAGAGATAATATTTTATTCCACAACGCCATGCTTTCTTTCTTTTTTCCTTCTTTTTTTTTCCTTTTTTTATATTTTTTCAGATCATCATTCTTTTTTTATTTTTTCATCTTTTCTTTTTTTTTCGGTTCTTTCTTTTTTTGTAAGTTCTTTTCCTGATGAAAATTTTTCTCAACATTTTTCATAATTTTTCAGAATTTCTATATAATTTTATAACTTTCTCACATTTTTTATACAAATTCGAACATTTCTCAGAAAATCTTTTCTCAGAATTTTATATATATATTAATTATAAAAATATCGTAAGATTTTTAAGATTTTTTGTAAGTATTGTAATTTCTGATGAAATGTTATAAATCTAAAAAGTTAAAAAATATTTTTTAAAAATTATGGGATAAGAAATTCAAAATATTTCAGAATTCACTTGTATGAAAAATTTTGAGAGAAGATGTAAACTTTTCGAATATTTATAAGTTTTTCTAAAAAATGTTGCAATTTAAATAAAAATTATAAGAAAAATTTTCACCAAGGTTCCTTTTCATGAAAATCACTAATAACTGAAAATAAAATATAACTCCGAGATATTAACATAAATATAAATATTTTGCTCTATATAACATTATGCCTAGTAGTGCAACTTGATGCGCTAATGTAGCGCTAATTACTACTGACCGCTGTCATAGTATCTCTAAACTGAGCATTGTCAAAAATTTGGGAATGGGGGAGCCCATTTAGAAAAGAACGCATTCAAATCGGCCCAGGTACGTTTTCTCTCGTGCATGCGCGAAATGAGGATTACTCCCATTCCTTGAATGCTTAGTCTATCGCTCTATCTCACCTCTCAACTCTTCCGTCTCTGTCTCATTTTCATTTTTTGTCTTTCTTCTCTCTCTCTCTTTCTCTCTCTCTCTCTCTCTCTCTCTCTCTCTCTCTCTCTCTCTCTCTCATAGTTTATTTCCTTTTTACTTATTTTCTTTTTACTAAAAATATAAAAAATATACCTATATAAAAAAATATATAAATTTTATCACGATTTTTCTTTCCTACCTTTCTTCTTTTTTTCTTATCTTCCTCTCGTTTTTTGTCTCTCTTCTTCTATCTCTCTTTCTCTCTTCTAAATTCTGTCTTTTGTCTCCTATCTTTGTTCTCTCGTGTCATCTCTCATCTTTAATCTCTCTGATCTCGTCTCATCTCTGGTCTCTTTTCGTTCTCACTATCGTCTCAATTTCTTTCGTTTTCTTCTTATCTCATTCTTTTCTCATCTTTCATTATCTCTGCTCCATCTCACCTCTATTCTATCTATCTATCGTCTCTTTTATCTCCTTGTCTCACTTTCATCTTTTCTCTCTCTCTCTCTCTCTCTCTCTCTCTCTCTCTCTCTCTCTCTCTCTCTCTCTCTCTTCTAAATTCTATTTTTCGTCCCCTATCTCTATTCTCTCGTGTCACATCTCTCGCCTTTAATCTTTCTCGTCTCATCTCTCTCTGACCATCTCTTTTTCGTTTCATCTCTGATCTCTTTTCGTTCTCACTATCGTCTTTATCTCTTTCATTTTCTTCTTGTTTCACTCTCGTCTCACACTTCTTTCTTATTTCCAATGTCTTGTCTTGCCTCTGTCATCTCTTTCATTAAAAAATAAATAGTTTAGGAGATATTTTTTATATAAAAAATATACCAAAATGAATCATAAAATATCTCAAATTATTAATTAATATTAACAAATATTGAAAAGATCAGATTTTTGATTGAAATTGTGCTACTTTTAATGCGATTTTCACACATTGCCATCAGATTAGTTTGTCATTGATGGTAACTTTCAGGATATTCTAATAAAAGTATACAGATTGGAATATTTTAGAAACATACTTTGAAGAAAGAAGATTATATTATTTTCTAATCCTTGCCTTTTCTTTTTAGATCTTTCCTTTCAATAAATCTGAAAATAAAATAGCATAAAGAATCAATTCTTTTATAATTATAAAGAATTCTTTCATAATTATAAAAAATAGAGAGAATAAATTAATAGAGATTAAACTTATCTGATATTGAAGAGAAACTTTTAACACTTTGAAAAGAGATATCTTTTATATTATATTAATCAAGTAATTTTAACTTCAATACACAACCTCAATTGTCAATCACATTTATATTAATCAAAGTAAAAATCTCGACGATGATAGCCGCTCATGAAGTAAGCAGCATTATGAGAGAACTAATCAGCATCACGGAAAAGCGGCAACAATAAACTTCGAGAGATGCGAGCAATCAACTTAACGTCTCCTTTTTTAGGATTATCAATAGCTAATCGCATGACCGCGTCTGCGTCATTGTATTTCTCAGATAATTCTTTATTATTTTTAATTTTAAAAAAGATGCCTCTGCAATTGCCACAGATATTGGCACAGTTAATAAGATCCATAATGCTCTGTTGCTAAATTTGAAAAGATTTCCAGAAAACCATTTTTAGTTAATTCATTTAAAATATCAAGTAAAGTAGAGCTTTATATTTACAAGAGCTGTCTATTAAAATTTTGCGGCCCTCCAAATTTTGCGCCCTATGCTGGAGCATACCTGCTTAGTGCCTCGAAACGCCTCTGCTCTTCGGTGCCTCCACTTTCAGTCTATGGCTGCTTTCCTTTTAAGAGATAGTGATTGACACATAAATGTCGTTCTTTGTTATTATGTTGAATGTCAAAAAGGATAAAACGTTTGTATCTTCTAAAAGAAAAGCAGCTTTTGTTAAAAACTCCTAAAAACGGCAGAGACAGAACGTTTCTGTCGATTTGTGTCATCAGTGCTCATTTCTACCAAATTAACTTTAATTAACTTTAATTTCGGTTCAACTTATTCTTCTTTTTAATTTTTATAACTAGAAAAAGATATAATAGAATAAAATTAAACTTATTAAAAACATGATCTCACATTGATTGGGTCTGATTGAGCTTTAGGCTTCACCAGATTCCACTAAAACGTAAGATTATCTTTAATCTTTTTTGGTTCAATTTATTTTTTATAATTCTAAAGAATTATATAAAAAAATAAACAAGAAGTTAAACCGAGATTAAAGTCAATCCTACATGAATGGAACTTAAATTGAAAAACATCTATAATCTCATACACAAAAGAATCATTTAATGTGCATGGACGTTAAGATTTTTTATTTTTGTCGGAACTAATCACTAATCGTTTTCATTTTAACATTTTGTTATTTTTACAACTTATTTAATAACGCTGATTCGATTTACCTGTGAAAATTGAAGGGGAAGAATTGTTATTAGCTGTATTATCTTCATGTGCGGAAATGGAACCAACTTTTAAAAAAAAATAGTCTGATGGAAAATTTTGATAAGATAGAGCTTTTATGCGAGTGGATACTAAGAAGACAAATCTCGCATGGATAATCCTGAAAGCGGGACAATTTCGATCTCAAATTCGCCGAAATTATCACCGATACTTCTGATCCACGAAAACGATCTTTACTTTTGCCTCTCGCGATAAGATAACTCACATGTTGCATATGTTCAAGTCGACAGGAGCTACAAGGAACTGCAAGTATCTCCAGACAAGTGTCATTGCACAACTGATATTGACATGGCCATATTATTTTTTCGTCGGTATAAACTACACGCATAATCGAGTGATGGCATAAGATGTATTATCTTAATTAAAACTTGATAAAGAACAATAGATTTATGTATTTATTTATAGTGGATGGACAATAGATTTATGTATACCAAAGTTTTCATATTTCATGTTTATGTATCAAATTTCGCTATCGTTGAATGTCGTCTTTTTTCACAAGAGAAGGAAAATTTGGATTCTACAACCATACTTAGTATTTTAAACATGGTACATGATTACATGCTTCAATTAGTTTATTGATCTCTTCTCTTGAGAAGTTTCTTAAAATACTATATAGATAATTTTAATCTTCGAAAAGATACAATCATATAATGCACAATTTCGATAAACATCCTCAGCTATTACAAAACAATTCCTTTTTCGATAGGTTTATGTATAGTCTCTTACTGGAAAGCTCTCATATAGAATTGCGTTCACTGTCAGTGCTGAAAGTTTGTAGTGCATGTAACGTATACTATAGACTACAGATTTTCAGTACTACTAGCAGAATATCGAAACGCAGTCTGTATGAGAATTTCGCAGCACACATCGACATTTTGTCTTCGTTTGATGTATTGAATGAAACAGAAAAACAAAATAATTCCTATGTCTTTTGTTGGAAAGCTCCCATTATAAGCTGAATAAATCACCTTCTATTGAGTTCTGGCGGCAAGACACTCCAATCCTCGGTGTCGTAGTAAGGCCACATGGTATGTAATAATGTTAAATAAATAAGGAGCTTACGGCCAAAAAGAAGCGCACCGCACAAAATCACAATCTATACCAAACAGAACACGTACAGTTGCGCGATCAGTTTTGTACATTCTTTATCACTAATATAATAGCACCGGGACAAGGTGTGGATATTATCTCTTATCTCGGCGACTACCTTGATATCAGGCATTCACACTCATACAAATCCAGTTCTAAGCGAGATCTGATAAATCATTTTACAGTAAATTTTAGAATGCTCTTAGAAAGAAATGAACGTTCCTATTATCTGTGTGCAATTTTAATATACATTCTTCTTATATATCTAAAAGGAGATAATGTATATTCGATTAAAAAGAAATTCTTTATTCATAAAAATACATGCGATATAAATATGTACAATGCGTTAATATCGCAATGTATTATATATATTTACATATTAATATAAATTACCAAAGAATTAGAGACACAGCTAAGATAAGGAATTGTCGTCCTGATTACGAGGCGGTCGTATATCACTGTTTCTTTTGACGCAATCCACCAACCAATGTATGCCTTCATCTACTCCATCCCTTTTCAAATTATAGACCGTTATTTTACGTTATATAAAAAGTATACTATTAAAAATCCGCTTAAGAGGAGATTCCTGAGATTATTTTGAGAAAAATTTTATTACCAAAATATTTTCTTTAACATAACAAATATCAATAATTAGAAATATCAGTAATTATATCTTCGCATAATCTTTATATTACTTAATATTTACAAGAGGCAAAACTTAGCTTTCACTTTCAGCATTTTATATCATACTCGAACGCACAAATTTTAGACAGTATCTTTTGTTAACTTTAAATGATGCAAAAATTATTATAGCCTTGACATTTTTTGGGATGAGAATTTTCGTCTTAAAATAATCTTAGAAGCAGTCCCTTAAGCGTTGGTCTTTACGTGGACACCCTGTATATACAAGTGTCCCAATAACCACCTATTACCACCTGAAATATCTTCTAATCCATAAGGTTTAAAAATTCTTACACGGACTCTGATAATGGTTATTTATACATTGAAGATGACCCAAATTTAGAGTCGAAACGTTTGTATTATTGATTAATACATACATATTTAATTACTAGAGAGTTATCGATTTTTAAAAGTAACTCGTTACAATTACCGTCATTTTTAACTTTTCGTAATTTTCTATTACTTTGTTAAAATCGACGATCAAACACAGCGGATGAGGAGCTTTCTAATCTAGCGCTATAAGTGACTTGTGTCTAAATCGAGTAGAAACGATAAATGTAACTGTAAAATTACCGTTATCAAAAAAATATAATTACATTACCGTTACATACAGTTATCAAAAAAAATAATGCAGTTACTAGTAAAGTTGCCAAAAGTAACTTGTAACTTCGTAACAAGTAACGAGTTACTTTCATTCCCTGTTGATTATACACGATCAACCGTGTCGGTTCCCATTGGCATTATCGTTCCCTTTGTTCGATTAATCTTTGGAATCTGTTTTAACTCTCAGACCACAAGGAGTGGGCATAATCCCACCCGATTTTCATAATTCAGGCATTCAAACACTTTGAACAGGTGCTGAAACTGAAGGGGAAAAATTTAAGTTTCACCTCTACAATTCCTTTTCGGCAACCTTCTAATGCGCCATTAGCTAATTGTATGGTGTAAAGTACGTGTTGGGGTTACTCTAATCCCTTGTGGATACGTCAAAAAATCCGGACTTACTGTAAAGTTGAAATGTAAGTAGATATGATTAATTGCATTATTTATGATTTTAATCATGAGTGCACATCATAAAAAAATGATTTAATTCAATTTTAATATCCGAAAAAGACTTCTTCTTCTTCCTCGTTAATGATTCCCGCGGTAAATAGTAAATATAATAATAAATTGTTAATATTTACCATAGAAGAACATTAGGATTACTTTTTTTTTATTTATTTTTATCAAAATTCAAAGATTTTCGGTTTATGATTAATTCCGTAAAACTGAAAAATCACTCATTTTCACTTTGCAAAAAAAATATCGTTTTTAGAACAAATCACAAAAACGCATATAGTTTCTTAAATTTCAACTCATTTGTTGATTCATCACTAATAAAATCTTTTTTCGTTTATTTTTGACAAAGAGATGAGGTTTTAAAAAAAATTCATTGTTTTCACGTTTTTTTCCGATCCCTTTTTACTTATTACAAAATATCTTTTGTGTTACATTTTAAACTTTCTAACTCAAACATTCTTTTTTTTTCAGTCTTCAAACGATAAATTAAAAAAAAATTAGTTAAAATCGATGCACAATATGAGATACAAGCAAAAAAAAAACGCTGAGTTACAAATACTCATAGGATGGGTAGATATAGGAACTGCCAGAGTTGTGTATACTGAAGGTTAATATTAATTATTTAAAAAAATGAAGTTGACCTTAAAATCTTCGCAGTGCTTCCATCAGGACAAAAATTACTACCGCCATCATATGACCTTCTTCGTACCATGCAATTTTGATTCTACAAATTTCTTTTTTGGACTTTATGAATTCAAAGATATTTCAGGATAATGGTTATTGGCATATGTATATATAGTTATTGGGAGATATATATGTATATATACAGGATGTCCCGAAATTTTTTTTTCGACAAGCGCTCTTATGTATTGGGTTGTCCGGAAAGTTTCGTGCCGATGTTGAAGGAAAATTGAAAGAAGATTTAAATTTTAGTATACATTTATTAAATTATATAGGTTAGTCGGCACGAACTTTCCAGACAACCCAATAGATAGAGCGGATTAAACTGAGTCAAAAAGTTCTCTTTGCAATTTTCGCAGATATTAATTAGTAAAAATTGCCCCGAATATTGTCTTCAATAATTTTTTTCTCAAATTACAGGAAAATTGCAAAAGACAAAAATTGTTTATTTTCTTTTCATAGAACTCTAAGAATTTTTTCAGAATTTTTTATCAATTTTTTAGTACTGCATTTTCCTTTATATATATAAATTGCTTATTTTCTTCTTATAAAGTTTATATATATATATAT